GCCGGCGAGCAGTATTTGGAACCCCTCCTCAAGAGTGGATCGACGGTTGAAGCCGCACAACATGGGCCCTCAGCCGGGGAAGCCGTGCCCGATCGTGGTCGTGTTTCGCAACAGCGAAGCACGCCAGGCCACGCGTGAGCACTGGCACTTTTGAGCAGTTCCTGCCATTCTTGGAGAAAAGGGAGCCCGGCCTGCAACATACCATTGGGGCCTTATTTATTACCTACGGCTCCTTAGTATACTTATAGTATGGTGGGCCCCAAAACCCTGTTAAGGCCCCTATATGACCTAGCGTCAACGGAGTTCCTGCCGGCCGAGGGGCACGATATTAGCGATGGGCACTCACTTCCAGGTGGCTGCTAGTTTAGTTTTCTTCCAACCTTCTGCGCATTCCGCTTGATGACAGTTAGTCCTTTGCGAGTCGAGGTATCTTAAGTTGACCCCTCTTTTCAAGAGTTTTGAACTCTTTCAGGCACCTAAACCTAAATCCTGATACAGGACAACGCGATGATCCGCAGGCTTTGGGCTTGGGAAGTTGGGGAAGTTTGGAGTTTGGGGTTGGGGCTGTACGATATACGGCTTGAACCGAAAAACCAGACCCGTAAACTAAACCTTAAACCCCACGCCTTGGGAAAGCAAACCGAGGCCTCTGCGACAGCATCGGCCGGGGTCCTCAGACGGTCCAATGGCTTTCTAGCTGGCTTCTCTACGGCTGCTTGGAGGGTTCCATGTTGGGTTCATTAAGGGTTTAGGATTTTTGGCTACGGGGCCTGAAGCCCGAACTTGTCGTCTGAGCTGGTAACCTTTAAAGATTGTTTGGGGGCTCACAAGATATTCAATCCTGTCGTGAGGAAACGGAGAAACTTCTTTCACGTCAGTTGCGGTTTGAGGTGCAAGCTTGGAGAACTTCAGGATCAATCCAAAGCCGCACACCCCGAGCCTGAAGATATCTTGTGGCCTAGGGATGCACCGTCAGGGTTAGGGATTGGGGTTAGGGTCCATGGCATAGTGCTGATGCACTCAAGCAGCCAAAGTGATTGCGCCAGAGGAGTTTCCTGTATAGTATTTCAGGCTGAGGAGCATGATGAGGAGGATGATCGGATGATGAAGCCGAGGAGCAGGAAAAGAAGGACGTTGCAAATTTGGCGCTGACAGTACGAACGACGGCTGCAATGATTTGTTGTTTCCTGGACTATGTCTCTGCATCTATCGCACTTGCTGCACATCATACCGACTTTCGCATCTGCCTTGCTTTTCCCGTCAAGACTACAGTTTCGTGCACATGCAATCGCTTTCTTGCACAAGTCTCTGCCACACGAACTATTGTTTAAGCATTGCATGTGAGCATGCGGTTGGTTTCCAGCTCTTCCGCGTCGATTTGCTAGTCGGCTTCCTCAAGTGTCGACATCCTCTTGGAACGTTTGCTTCCAGACAAGCGTGTGATCACATGTTCTTTTCCAGTTTTACCCCGAATGTCCTCCCAAACCCTGTAGACTCTACGAGCCTAAACCCGACCTTAACTTTATTTCCAATATGTCCACCCGTTCCTACACTCTAAACCTGACTGCAACCCTACACCAACTTCTGTGAAGCCCTGATTCCTCCATATCCCTTCCCTGCCCTTTGAGGTGGCTTCAGCTGAGGATGCTCGGGGTCAAGGTCTGGCCCACCTGGTAGGATGCCCAGTCACTCGTTGAGGGTTTCAGGGCTTTTAGAGGTTTAGGGTAGGGTTTAAGGGTTTAAGGTTTGGAGCTTAAGGTTTACTGTGTGTGTGTGTGTGTGTGTGTGTTTTTTTTCTTTTTGGGAGGGGGGGGGGGTTAGGCATCGCGTGCGAATCAGCTCGTGAAGGGTCAGGGGGCTTGGAAATTCGGGTGAATACAAGAAAGGTAACCATAATATGTAGGGTGTGGGGTTTAAGGTTGGAGTAGGATTGGAAATGAATGTTGCTAACCGCCCACTGATGTGAGTGGCTTGAGTTACTAAGCCTCGAGAATATTGAACTGAACTTTTTGCAGCACTTCCTTACAAAGCCAATCCCCATCGCCACACCCTAAGCCCAAAACCTTAAACCCTGCACCGAAAGTCCCTCAAGCCATAAACTCAATCAAACCTTAAGCTCTTAACCGTAAATCCTCCAACCTTAAATCCGAAACCTAACCCTAGTACTCTGGTTCTTCCTTTTCTTGGGAGATCGTCCGTGAGCCCTACCGAGCCTTGACGGCCCGACACCCCTCAAACTTTAAGGCCAAAGCGCAAGCTGCAGGCTCCAAGATGGAGAGCTTAGATTTTGGGGTTTGGGGTTCAGGGTTTAGGGTTTAGGTGGAGACTCGGGGCTTCACATTAGGATCCTTTCGAAGCTTGACAGAACTAATCCTTACAGTAGAAGCCCAAAAGTTGGAAACCCCACAGCCTCGATCCTTAAGAGTAATGTATAGGGAACCCCAGCACTATGGCCTTAATCTGGTTTCCAACTTTAGGGGGTTTACTGTAACCCTAAAGCCCCAAGCTTAAACCCCAAACCCTAAAGGCTTCAAGCCCTAAAGCTTCAAAGAACCCAAGCCGTAAACCCAAACCCTGAAGACCAAGAAAAGATCCGAGAGTCTAGGAAGAAGACCTACAGGGCCTGGCTGACAGGTTTCGTTTGGGTCGATTTAGGTTTTATAGGGTTTAGGGGTTTATAAGCCAGAGCTTATGATTTAGGTAGGTCTCACTGGACCGGGTTAGTCGACTTATGGCGTTCGGTGAAACCGCAAACTGGGTCAGTCACTAGGTCACTTGATCTTTCCTGCAGGTATGCAGTGGGTTTTCAGCCCCAAGATCCAGACCGTAGATTCGTAAACCTTGAACCCCAAATCCTAAACCCCTAAACCCTAAACCCTAAGCCCCTAAACCCCGAAACCCAAACCCCTAAACCTTAAATCCTAAACCCTAAACCCATAAAGCCGAAGACCGGAAGCCCAATGAGGTCGGTGAGATGGACGCTGAGCTGCGAGCCCGGGACTTGGGAATGTTGAATGTGGGGGGCGGGTCAAGGCTTATGGTGTAGGGTTTAGGGTTGTAGTTTTTGTTTTTTGCCCTGGGTTTACGACAGAATAAAGGTATGTATCGTGTAAAACCGTGGAAGGCCCGGTCTAAGTAGAGGGCCTATTATTGTAGGGTTGTCTTAGCATACTTGGCATCTGTTTGGTGATTGGGATACTGGCTTTGAGGGTATATCGCCCCAGTGGCCCGAATAGTGCGGTCTGTGGACCGGAAGCTGTTCAGTTGAGATGCCAAACTCCCGACAGAAAATACAAGGATCTTAAAGATGAGTACATGCAGGTTTCGTCAGGAATTTTGTGTGACAAAAGAAGTTGGGGTCTCCACCTGGGTGTACTACTAACGAATAACAAGAGCCCGTAACACGCCCGTCTGCCCTATCAAAGAATTTCAGAAACCTCGACATTGAGATCATGAGTTGATGTGGCCGTTTGGGCAGTTCCGGATTCAGGGTTTAGGGGCTAGGCTTGAGGCTTTAGGGTCGTTTCACGGTAAACCCAAACCAACATTAACTTAGGACCCGCATGCCCGTTGAGTGCCCGTGCGAAACCCTATATGGAAATATAGAAACGCGACATGTGTTTGTACGTTCGGTTTCTCGGCATCCCAAACCAAATCCCGGTCAATCTCTCAACTTTTACTAAACCTGCATGAACTCAAAAACCCGAGTCCTATCCACAAAGCCCCGGAGCCCGATACTTACCCAAGCATTGACACCTTCAACAAGATAGGAATCCCTACAGTACCTGCCGTCCCGTTTCGGGGCTTCCGGAGGAGCCCTTACAGGAACGCCCGCCAGCCCTAGTGCCCTGCTGGGACAGGTGGAGCTCAACTCCCGCTTGCGCCTCCTTACAGCCGACCTGAAAGGCGAAATCATGTCGGCCCGGCTCTTAACCGTACCTTTGGGAATGGAAGGGGCCTTATAAAGGGATCTATGAGGGTTTACTACAAGGGATCTATAAGGGTACTATAATATAGGGGACTTTAACAATCCTATAGCTTACGTTTGGTTAGTAGGGAATAGAAGAATGGTAGTAATAGTAGTGGTATTTGGACCCCATGCCTCCATTCCCTACTAACCAAAGGTAAGTAACTAGTTGTTGTTTTGTTTGGTTCATTCTTTGTTTGCTTGTGTGCTTACTAGCTGTTTTACTTGCTCATTTGAATGATTACTGTTTCACTGTTTTAGAATATGTATAAATATATATATATATACACACACATCTGTGTTTATAGGTATACACCTACATTTACATTTACAACATACATATGTAGATATTTACATCTATACCTATATATATATATATATATATATATATATATAGAGTGTATGTCGTCGTGGAGGCCTGCTTTTCTCGAGCAAACCAGCTATTTTTTACTATATTTTAAGCTATTTCAACTTCCGACATACAATTTGGAAAGTGACATGTGGACATGCTGCATGTCCCGGCAGGTACATTCACGCTGACACAAAAACATAATATCTCTAAACTTTCACATCGCAGCAACTGACGGCCGAACGTCAGTACGCTGAGGTCCAGACCTGTCAGATGTACGTACTGTGGAACTTGTACATAATTACGACATAGCACAAACTGACGTCATTGCACGGCATGCGAACGATCTGTGAGTGCTTTCGATCTGGGCACATCTACCGTTTCTTTTCACACATCGACTGCGAACTGGTCCACAACTAGAGTGAGCCCGCTGTGTAGGACGTAATAGCCTGACTACCGCTTCAGTGACAGTCTACCCCATATGTTCTATCAGTTCAGAACTGATAGAACAGCAACAGATCGTAAATGACTATTGCATAATACTGAAGACCGAACTATGAATGGTGACTTGTGAAGCCATCAACATTGAGACATGCACTGAAGTCACGCAGACCTTACGACAGGCTTGTGACACGATGGGGCTAAGTCACAGAACAAGAACGCATCGAAATGTGCACCAGAAACTTAATTACCACCAGGTCTTATCGTCTCGCACTTGGTGTTCTTCAGATGCTTCTTGATGACATTCGTCTTGGAGGAGGCTGGCTTACGGCGGATAGACGTCGAGGAAGTGGACGGTTTCCCAGACCCGGACGAGGATACCGCTGCCGGGCGTCGACACGTGTACTTGTGCGTCGCTGGCTTCCGCCAGACACCCACGGACTTGGCCACCCGGCGATGCGCGCTGAACTTGTTCAGGTGGAGAACATACTTGTTCCGGATGAGGTCGTTGTGGCGATCGACATAGCGCAAGACAGTGAAGATGTGTGCGTCACGTGACTTACTGTTGAAGGTTGCCGCGTAGCCTCTAAACCAAGCAAAGGTTTGCTCGGCTATGGAAGTGTTGACGTTCTTCAACCTAATATCCAAACGCTTCACATTCAGGGGCGAGCATTGACACGTGCTGGAATGTCCCCGAGCATGAAAGCGATCCACGCACCAGGATTTGACACGCTTCAAGTCCTTGTGCTTTTTAACGGTTGCCATACACCTGCAAATACGGTTGTAGATGACGCAATCCGCATTGGGGGCCTGAAGGAGTGTCTTCTGCAGTACCTCGAGCATGACGTCGTTGTTCTCGGGGTCTGTCATCTCGGAAACCGCGATAACCAAGCCACTGCCAGGGTCCATGCTCATGAACCATCCGTTATGTCGCTGCTTGATGCGACCATCTTTCCGTGGTCGTCCGGTACGAGCAGGGGGCGTAGTCGAACACTTCGTGGAAACCTTCTCATGTCCGTCCATGACGATTTCTGTAATGCGGTTGCGCTCAGCGGTAGAGAGGTGATGGGAGTGCCACCATGTCGAGTACTCGTGCACAAGATCGTCAGCGAGAGGATCCTCAATGTCTAGCGCGTGCAATTTCCGAGCCAGGATATGTGGTGCTTCCTTAGACCACATGTCCTCGGCCGCCTGGATAACGCTGTAGTAGAGAGCTGCTGCGGCGTACTCCCTGGACCATCGGTAGTGATCGTTGTCACCTTTCCATACCGTCTCTTCCTGAGCCCAAGCTATGGCGTTGTTGCTGATGCACCCCCTGAATTGAAGAGCAGCGTGGTAGTCCAAGAAGTCCTTGCTGAACCCTGTCTTGCAACTCATGAAGACACAGTCAATGTCCTCCGCGTGGCACGTATTCAACTTTCGACCATCCAACCATCGGTAGTTGTAGTGATGGTACACCCGACAAGACTTCCTAGTGCATCGCATTTGAACGTGATGAACAGACTCCACACCGGACAGTGTGTAGAGGCGGGCATCAATGTGCTTGTCAGGAGCCAGTGGAGCTCCACACTCTACACAGGACTTCCGGAAAGTTGCAAACTTCTTCTTGTCCATGGCGTTAGGACGAGGACCATTTCCACACAGCGTGTATTCGGGACCTGTTGGTGTTGAATTGGATGAGTCTTGCTCGAGGAGACGGAAGCAGGTGATGTTGTCCGTCTCCTCCATCAGCGCTTGAAAGTCAACGAAAGGAAGCCACAGATGTCGACCTTCGGCCCAACCGTCAACCATGGCAACACCTCCACTTTGTGGGGAAAGAGCTGCCCACCAATGTCCATGTCCGAGATCAACTGGTTGATGACAGATCCAAACATCGTCAGACTTCGCAGTCATGTGCTCGCTGTCGGCGTGGATCAGCTGTAGGCTCTTATTCGAGTTGGACTCCGCGACTTGTTTAAGAGCATGGTTCAGAATTGATGCGCTCATGGGGGCAGTAGACGAGCAGTATACACGCAGTGCTTCCATGTTGACATCAGGTGCGACGATGGAGAACGCATAGAGGAGGCAGTTCTCTGTGACGGGCACAGCGGCGACAGACTCCACGATGGCACCGCGTCGTAGGGCAGCATGTGGGAGCGAGGCTGGCCGCAGAGCTGTTGCCCAGGATTTAATCTCCATTGGAGTGATCTCCTCAGAAACTTTGTCCAAGGCAATGACCATGTTCATCTCCGCAGCAAAGGACGGGGTCATCACGTAGGCACCGTCAAACATAAGGACATTCGTCAACGTTGCACATCCCTCCGTGAACGCAGACAGCATGTCCGCCTCGGTGAATGAGAGCATAGCAGAGAGCCTTGAGAACTCCGAATTGCGTCTATCTGCATACAATTTCGACCACATTGTTGCGCTTGGGTGACCTAGCAATGACTCAGCCGCCTTCTGGACTTCATCGCATAGCTTGAGTAGGAATGGAGCTTGTATACCAGGTCGACCTCCATAGAAGATACGGATCAGCTCCGTCTTCGCATCGGCCGCCGTCTTGTCCATATACTTCGTCACACACCGACGCCATGCTTTAAAGTTCTCATTGAAACGTTCAAGCATAACGTATTTCGTAGAGTCCCACAGACCAAGATCCTTCAAATGCTTTGCCAAGAGACGTGGATGGCAACATGCAGCGTCAACCTCGGCACACATACTGCCAAAGGCCACATTCCGTGCTTCCTTGGTCAGTTTCTGCCCGGATGGGCCCCGAGCCATGTATCGACCGTAATGCTTTTGCTGGTAGTACTCCACGTTGATCTTGGACTGGGAACCTTCTTGATAACCATGACTTTCATGGCGCTCAATGTACTGTCGAAGCATGTCTTGCCTCCTGTCTACGTTGAGCTGCATGTACTGCTTCAGAGCAGGAAGGTCGACAGTTTCCTCCAGGGAAGTTACCGTCGCACTCACGGTTGCAATGACTCCAGCACCACTAGACTTGTCGGCTTCCATGTATACACGATCCGAGCTGAAGGCCTTGTCTTCCCACTTCTCTTGAATGTGCAGAAGATCAAATGGACAGGCCCAGTCTGCCCATGTGCCGAAGACTTTATCGCCTCCCTCCTCCTGCATGAACGTGTATAGGGATGTCCAATCAACCAAGAGTTTCGCAAAGCCTGTGGAATCGATTTGCTGGAACAGCTTGACATCTGAGTGGTCTAACGCATCAATAAAGTTAGCCATCTTGGTTCGCTTTCCCTTGGACGATGATGCACAACCTGGCAAGGCTTCAACTTTCGAAACGAGATACTCCTTGACAATGCGCCTCATGGGTGTAGCTGCATGGACGGTAGCCACGATTTCATTGGATTCCTGCAGTTTCTGATCCGTGACACCCGGAGGAAGCGTTTTGTTGCCAGATAAGCACGTAGCCAACCACGTTGTATCGATCTCCAGTAGCTCCCTCACAGAAGCGAGGTTGTTGATCATGGCCAAGGAATCCTGAAGTGTATTCTCCTGGAAGAAAGGAAGACACCACTCCCGAAAATAGATTGCAGCAGTCACGGGGTGTGACAAGAAGGCGGACAGCTCGTCCTGTGCAATGAGCTTGAAAACACCCTTTGCCGGGTCCACTTGAGCGTCGTCTGCTGTGAAGACACCTTTGCCTAGCCGGACAGAAATCACAGACTCCAAGAGCTAGGGTACACATATTAGAACTCGAAAGATTTAGATTGCGTATGTATTTGTACAGCAACACAATAATATTGACTATACGTGAACTACGCAAAACCGGGCCTCCAGGGTGACGCTTTCTGTATATATATATATATATACATACATATGCTTATGTATATATATATATATGCATCTGTGTATATATATATATATATATAATATACACAAAGTATTTGGAAAGATATGTGTGTTTGTAGTTTGATGGCCTTGTGCGTAGATTTTAGGACTTTCAGGTATGTGGCCTAGGGCTTTAGGACGAGCTCTGGTTTTTGGGCTTAGATGTTTTGGGTGTTGGTTTTAAGCGCTAGAGGGTGCAGTTCAGGATTGTTGTGTTTTCGGCTTTGGTTGAATGTTTAACGGACATATTCCGTCCGTATGCATGTCTTCTCATACACATTTTGCTAAACATGGAACAAACGGAACTACGGCTATGACAGTAGTGCTGCCAATCATAGCTGTTGCTGTTCCTTGATATCGTAATTGTCTCATGTCGCAACCCTGTACAATCCTGTTGAAGCCCCAAGCACCCGAATATCGAATATCATAGACGCTAAACCACTGAACTCTGAATCGCTAAGCCCCCCCTAAAATTCAATTCCTGAGCCCCGTAAGCCAGACCACATGTAAATCTTGATACCTGAGTTAAGGGCATTTTCCCAAGTCATCCGAAGTTCCCAAGGATGTCGCTGCGCGCATCGCAGCGGCAGAAGCGGCTGTCGGTGGCATTGAGGCCCGGGTTTGAGAGGATGTTTGGAGCGCCTTTTTATACGAAGAAAAAAAGGATTTCTGCAGGGGTTTAGAACATCTCCAGAAACTTGACACGGGATTATACAGGGTTTCTTTAGGGATCATGTTTTTGTGGGAGCCATCTAGGTTTTTTCATGTTGTTCACTCCAGATTATGCTTGATTCAGCTTTGCCAAGTCATTGAAGAGTTGTTTTTCGACATCTGTGTTTTAAATTTTTTCTATCGAAGCTTATTCTATAGAGGGTTTGGTTAGTTTTCGACAGAGTTCTATGGGATTTCATTAGGGTTTCGTTGGTGCTCATGTTAGCCTTCATCACGTTGCACCGGGTTGTTGAAAGTTCGGGATTTACGTGCTCAGGTGTATGGCATCGGGCTTTGGGAATACATCCTGCTCCCCCAACAGGGTTTCGGTGCCCAAACCCTCCACTCAAGGCCTTATGCCCAAGCCCTAAATCCCCAAACCCTGAACCCTAAACTACACCCTAAACCAGGTGGAGTGGAGTGCGATACTACAAACCCTACCCTTGCAGGTTCAGGGCTTCCAGGGCTTCAGACTTGTAGGGCGCAGGAGCTTTAGGTTTAGGGTACTTAGTTGGTTCGAGTTCTGTGTGTAGGGTTTATAGGGTTTCATAGACAAACACACCCAACTTCACTATGACATAGCTATCGACACGAGTGCGGTACTATTGCAACCTGATCGAATGTTAAGCTGATCTGGCAGCATAGACCCCATATATACATTGAAGCAGTGCCTAGTAATCGATACGGACCGGGAAGCAATTATTTATCGTCTCGCGTTACAATCTTGACAGAAACACAAAGACCCTTTATGCATCTTCAGGGTTTATGCTTAAGGGTGATAGGATGTCAGGCTTCAGCAGTTTGCTACTGAATAGTACAGGGCTGCTGGTGTGTCGGTTCTGCCAGATGCCTGCCCTAACCAACTTCTTTGTATGGATATCCACGAGTGCCACCATCAAGGGCAGTTTCGGGTTCATGTTTGAGGGTTTAAGGTTTGGGAACATACGTCTTGCTGCCAGAAACCCAAACCGCGAGCCCTAAATCGTGAGGCAAAGCTCTCCAGCGATCTGGACAACGTTTGCGAGGATGGGTCCAGCTTTGCTCATGGTTCCCACGTGCTATACTTCTTAGTTGGACTGTCGTTTCGGAATTGCCTTTTTTCATTGGAAACCATTGGGACATAAACCTCCTAAACCCTCAACCGTACAACCCAGACCCCGAAAGTTTGCACTTGCAGAGTTCAGAAGCAATCAAACATCGATTTCAAGCTTCCTGCAAATGGGTAGGAAGAAGATCAGAACTGGTGGTATCCTTCAATGTGATAGCATGGAAACTTGATTCATTAGCACCCTCATCCCAACAAGCGCTATGACAGCGAGCTTAATATTGGTGTCCTGCGAGAGCAGGAGTTGGTCAATCAGGATTTACAGCACTGTTGACTTTAGGATGATGACTGTTGTGGCTAAGCCTCGAGGGGATTTAGGCTTGGCCTCAACCCTAAGCCAACGTTCCGAATGGATAAAGCCGAAAGCCAAAGAGAAGCAGGGTTCTGGAAAATGTAATGCCGTCTCTGTTTATCGTCTCTGTACAACTAACCGCCAGACTATACCCCAAACCCTGTTCCAGCAACCAAGGCCCCGACGTAAGTCACCGTATACACGACTCCCTGACCTTGGCCTGAAACCCAAGATCTTGAAGCCCACACCGTGTCCAATATAGCCCAAGACCCATAAGGCCCAACACCCTAAACCTCCAAATCCCTAGAAAGCCTGAAGGATTTCCGCGCCTGCCTTGAAAGCCTCAACAAGGCGCAGACGTTGGGTGTGGCATTGGGGTCAGGGGTTCAGGTGGAGGGTCTAAAATTAGGGCTTGGGGGTCGTTCATGGTCTAGGCTTAGGGGTTTGGGGTTTGAGGCTTTGTTGGGTTTTAGTGTTTGGGGGTCAGGGGGCTACCGTTTCGGGCGCATGTAAAAAAATGCATTTGGGGTTTAGGGCGGATTTGCATTGAGGAGTAATCTGGTTCAACAACAGACAGCAAGAAATTGGCAACAGACGTACACGGCCTTTTAGCCTCTAGCCGGCAGCCGGCAGGACTATCCGTTCCTCCGCCTCTTCCTCGTCCTCCCTGTCTTTTTCCCTCCGTTTGTCTCTCGCCGTCCCCCCTCTCTCTCTCTCTCTCTCTCTCTCTCTCTCTCTCTCTCTCTCTCTTTCTTCCTTTTGTCTCTACATCCATATAGGTGTTTCTCCACGAGCATGTACCTGGTGCCTTTACATTGCACTTCTGTTACAGTAGTTAGTTAGCATTATACACCATGTGAACAAGCTAACCTCGGACGATCCAATCTGGTGCTCCCTAAGTAAAATTATGGAACATGAGCCTGAACCCTTTAATCCCTACGACCCGCAGACCTCGACCCTTGACCGTCCGAAGCCCCCCAAAACCCTGAACCCTAAATCCTAAGTGCCTACAGTAGAAGCTAGAAAGTTGGAACATCACTACCCTCATGCCCTTAAGGTAAAGTATAAGGGATCCTAGCACTAATCCTCCTAAAGTCATGTTCCAACTTTCTGGCTTCTACTATAATCCTTTCGATCCTTTAAGGGGTCCCCCAAGTTCCTGGTGAGGCGGATCTGGTGCCTCGGATGAAGTCTCTCGAGGACCCTCGGTATCTGCTTTCTAGGATAGCTTTAAGGGTTCCCTCTAGGGGCTCTGTAGAGGTGGTAGACAGCTTTAAGGGAACGGCTCTGTAGAGGTGGTAGAATTTGGAGTATTAGTCTGCCGGGGTTAGGATTTCGCAACGTTTCGGGGCTGTTCCGAAAAAAGTCAAGCATCATCCTGCCGCACAACACCTTATGCCCCAACGCCGACACGATAGAACCCTAGCCCGCCCCTCAGAGGCAAACCTCTGCGCACTAAACTTTGTCTCCACCAAATCGTGCTATGCTTTGGAGCACTACCCAGGCCATACATACTTATTTGTTGAGGTTTCTCTGTGGAAGCCACCCTAGACTGAATAAGCAGACCTGATAACTCATGTTTGCTTCAGAACCCCCCAAACCGTCTTAAAATCCTGAAGTTCATCCGTATAACTAGATCAAGAACCCATGGAAGAATCTATGGAACCTTCAAGGCGAAACACCGTAGACCCTAAACCCTGAACGTTAAACTCAAAGCCTAAACCGCTAAACCTTAAACCCGTAAACTCTAAACTTTTCAATGCCGGAAACCTTGAACCCTGTAAACCCTTTAAAAAACCCAAGCCCATGACCCTCTTGGATTAGTTCCGAACCCAGCGAAAAGGACCACGCGAATCGGACCAACCTCGTCTTGTCTACGATCCAGGAGGCCCGGGATCTCTGGCCTTTTTATGGGGTTTTAGCTTTGAGGGCATTAGGAAGGGGTTCTTATTTTCGACCCATGTCACTATCGGCTTCAGCTCTTGGGGTGTTGATTGTTCAGGGGTCGAGGGCTCTAGAGTTTATGGGAGGGAGGCTCCTGCCAAGCCAGTTCTTGAGACTGTCACTCTGAATCCTGCACGCTATGGGCCATAAATTGCCCAAGTTTACCCTTCCCTTGAGCTTGATTGCAGACGCATGACGAGCAAACCCACCCTCCCGTAGAAGAGGCTTTAACAATCTGTAACAGACGCTTTGCGCCATTAAGTACAGCTACTCTAAAATCCCCAAGAAAAAAGGAAGAGCGAGAGATACAGACGAACTGGCGGTCTGCTTCAAACTGTTTGCTGCGGGTACTCCACAAGAGATTCGAGGGACATAAACCAAGAACCTTCTTGAATTCCAGACTGGGTTCCGCCCTGTATCCGGAATTAATTTAATGAAGGGAGTTTGGAGTCTCTGAGCAAGCCGACACCTGCTACTAGCAATCCTTAACCATAGGTTTCAACACCCTATGTAGGCCTTGCATGTGCCTTTTGGATTTCTGTTTTCTAGTGGCTTGGAGATCGCCTGAAAAAAGCTTCTACCGAACAATCGTTTCTTGCCGGCTCCCTTACGCTGAGTTTTCGAAGCCTTCATTATAAGTCAAGGAATTTTGCACAAACCTGTTCTCAGTAATCTGATTATGTGGCTACAAGTACGAGGATACAGAGCTTGTAGGCCCGAAAAGCCCATGCAAGTCCCAAACCCTAAAGTCATTGACGAATTCCTGCAAGTCTTCCCTGAACCCTGACCGCCCTGACCCCGAGATCCCGTGAATAGAAACTTAGAGCCCCGAAACCACAGGCCAAGGCGCGAGACGTCTCCTTGGAGCCATGCCCTCAGTGTGGAATCAGAGTTCAGGTGCTGGGGTTTTGGGCTTGGGGTGTGGGGTGGGTGTTGTTTGTTCATCGCTGGGGGCATGGCGTATGCAGTAACCTGGAAAGGAGTTTGGTTTCGTTTAGAGTGTATCGCTAGGGCGAGTTATACGGCTTAGGACTCCGTGCTGTTTGGCTTCACCCTAAACCCTAAACCCCTAAACCTTATAAGCCGTTTTTTGGGTTCTTCCAGGTTTTACTGTTGGTGATTTCAGTCTTGGAGTTTGACCTCGGCCACTTGGGTCGATGTTCACCAGGAGGGCTTTTGATGTTGCCAAGATCTCGAAAGCCAGCTTTCTAAGTGGCTGGGCCCGTCGTCTCCGCATCAGCCCCGATGTGTCTTTTCTATGATTAGCCCTGTTCAACGTATTTAGCTCCTATCAGCAAACCGAGCAAGAAGTCTATAATAACCCGTAGTCTGTATTTAAAAAATCCCAACAGTAGATCAACGAGGCTGAGCGGCTCCCGAAAGTCTTGAATCCGAAACCACGAGCCTCAACACCGTAAAACCCTGAAAAGATTCGGGTTCTTTCCAGAAGTTGATGAAGCCGTCTGTCAAATCCAGAAAGCCTTAGACCAGAAGCCTGTTACGACTTTTGCCCAGATTTACAACCACACGTGAAGCTTGGCTTGAAAACAGTTAGTACTAAACTTTCAACCGATGCCAGACTCTATTTAAACGTCAGGGAGTTAAGCAGAGTAACTATACCTACAACTACTTGCCACCCCTAAATACCACATCTATCAAGCCCCAGATCCCCAAACCATCTTGACCAACGAGGCATCGGCGTGAACGCAGCCAGGCCGGCGGCTATGTTTTTTTTGTTCAGGATCTTACTGGTAAGGGCCCTCAGAATTTCTGAAACTCCCATGAAACACAGCAGGTCCTGCAGGTCTTTCGCAAGATTTTGGGGCCTGCATGAAACCTTCAGATTGCAAGGGTCCTAAAAAAGGGGCTTTCGGGCTTACGCTGCTGGGGTTCTTAGGGACTGGGACCCTGGGAAGATCTGGAGTCTCGGCTCGGAATAAGAGCTAAGCTAAAAGCATTCCCTTACAGTCGCCACCCTGTAATAGTGACTATAAGGACTAGATTAGGGCCCTGTTATTCTCCTATTGTACCACTATTAGGGGGTAGGGGCAGCTTCTCAGCTATAGTTTACATTATGTACCCCAAGCCCGATTCTGCCTGCTCAGGCCCCTACATGAGAGACTGATGCAGGGTCCAAGGGGCAATTCCCGACTTTCGAGTTTGTTAAATGCACAGGAAGCCATGAGCCTCAAATCCACTCCCAGCTTCTTTGCGTGCTACTATGAATAAGGACCTCAAGCCTACGCACATGCCGAGCCGCTAAGCCCTATAACCCCAGTTCTTTGTCACAGTCGGTGTAATGTAGAGGCCTTAATAATTAGAAGAGGGTTTCGGGGGTTCCTTACTACAATCAGAGTATAATATCCTTCAAAGCCCTATGTTGATTCGGTTTGAGGCCGAAACATTAATTAGCTCGGGGTGCCTGGCTCTTGCAGGATCTTCGGCCTGACGCAGATGGCGAGAACAAGGCAGTGGACAGGGGGGTAGGGTTTGAAGGCGATTGCAGCATGCGTCACTCACAAACTGGCTTGAAGGTATGGTGTAGGGACAACAAAAGCCATACTAATTCTTACTTAGCATGCTATGGCACTCATAATTCACATAAAATCATGTAATGGTTCTCAAGATGAGCATTGCGACGTAGGCTAGAATACGGTTAAAGCCAGCGCTTCGAGAAAGATTCTTCCAGCCACAGGGAAGGGCAAAGTCATACGCCATGTGCTGAATGATGCAGACCCGACGGTTTAGGGTCGAGGGTGTTAGGCTTGAGGAGTCTACGTAATATGTTACGGGGGTTTAGACATTTTGGGGTCTATGGTCATGTGTCCGGAACCTCGTTGAGTTTGTGTTGTTTTTTGTTGTGTCATGGGTTCTTTTCTCTTGAGCTGTATGTTTGCAAAAGACGATACCTAGGTGCCTATGGTTTGGGATCCCAGGCTTAAATCTTCAACCCGAAACCCCACTGGCCATGCCCGAAAGTAGGCTCCGGAAACCATTTGATCTATGGTCTCAGAGCCATATATTCCATACTCCTAAAAGCCTAAGCCCTGGATTGTGGAAGAAAGGAGCATCTCTCAGAACACCCTGAACAACAAGAGCCCTGGAAGCAAAACGAAGACCAACGAAGGCAAGCCAGTAAAGATGTGGTGAAAAAGCATCCTCGCCCTAAACCCTAAGCCCGAAACTCCTAACCCCTGAACCCTAAACCCTAAACCCCTAAACCCCTAAACCAGAAACCCTAGGCCCCGAAGCCCTAAGCCCCTAACCTCTAAACCCTAAATCCTACCTGTAGCCGAAAAGACCTACCTTTTCAGGGTTCCTTATTATGGTTTCTATATACAGTTCCATAAAAAGGTAGGTCTTTTTGGCTACAGGGCCAAAACCAACCCTGAACCCTAGACCCAAAAACCCTGAACCCTGGACCCAAAACCCTGAACCCTAAACCCTAAAAAGCCCAGAAGCCCTCTAAACCCCATGCAGGCCAAGCTTCTTATTCCCACGGGCCTGCGACAGCGCCTCCACGGCTGGGAGCCCCAGGAAAACAAGCACGGGAGGGCGGAGTACGGCTCAGGGTTTTTGGGTTTTAGGGTTTGTTTAGGGGTTTAGGGTTTAGGGGTTTAGGGGTTGAGGGGTTTAGGGGTTAGGGTTTAGGGGTTTAGGGTTAAGGGGTTTAGGGTTAAGGGGGACGGGATTTGTCACAAGTGCAGCACGAGCTTTGAGACATTCCGCTTTTCGAGGGCAAAGGTCTGTGCAAAAGCTTGGTGTCTTGAATGGTATAGGACAGAACCCCTTAAACCCTAAACCCTGATCGAAATCACCGACTCTTCTGGGGGCCCTAAACCGTTCAATTTTGCATTGCCCATTTCGGCACCTTCACTTCAGCGCCCATGAAGGCCTCGACCTTTGAATGGAGCAGGTGGGTAACTACGGGACCGCATGACCTCACCTCTCGAACCTTTGTTTTGGCTCCGTGCTGCTGCTGAGCTTCTGTACATTAGGGCTTGTTTAGGGGATCCACTACATCGGGTATCATATTTGGCTGCCCATTTTTCCGAGACTCTGCTTAGGGTAGTCCCCCCAACCCGAGCAGGAGTTAGGCTTGGCATGTGTTCAAACTGCTGGCTCGAAAGTAGGAATCACCAAACAAATGCTGCGTCGAAGTTTAGTGCTATTGAGGGTTGGTAATGAGTTGGTGTTAGGGCGAGAGTCTAATCGTCGACTCCCTGCCTAAGTGCGAGGTGATCCTGTTGCTAAACTTGGCCTTCTGGATTGGTATACACTGAACCCAGCAAGCTTAAACGCCTGAAACCTACACAGTAAGCCCAAACCCAAACCATCCCCCAACCCTGGACGCCCCAAAGCCTCACATGACCCCGAGCCCCTGGAAGCCACAAAGCCTCATAGCGCAGCCGTGGGCTCGAAAAAAACCATAAACCCTCATAGTTACCCTTCTTGTAGCCCTCAAAGGTGCCCTTAACACTAACCCTCAGCCCTAAACTCTGATCCCTGAACCTTAAACCCTAAACCCCAAACCCTAAACCCCTAAACCCCAAACCCTGAACCCTAAACCCTAAAACCCTAAATCCCTAAACCCCAAACCCTAGAAACCCTAAGCCCTGAAGCCTAAACCTGACGTATAACTTCTCATGGGCTGGAAAAGTCGATGTAGCCATACGCACCCCCCCCCCCGGCCAAAAAAAAAAGACCCCAAATCGTTGAAATTGCAACCACCTTACTGAGCCGTCGATCCCAAGCTTCGATCCCAGGTCTGGTCTCTGCTCTTAGCTGGACTCTTGGTCAGGCTGCTTTCGGCATGCGCAGGGGGTTCCTTTAAGGGATCTGTAGGGGTTCCATTTAAAGGGATCTATAGGGGATCCTTAAAGGGATCTGCAGGCTTCAGGGTTTAGGGCTTGGGGTCTAGGGTTCAGGGCTTGAGGGTTTGGTAGGGGTAATTAGGGTTTAGTTCAGGGCTTCAGGACCTCAGTGTTTAGGGTTCCACTTTGGGGTCCCTAGGGCTAGGATACGCGTTGCTGTATGGAGTGTTTGGGTTTTGGGTGTAGGGTTTTTCGACCATTTTTCGTCCGTGGGATTCAGGGATTTTACGGTGTGGAGCTTGGGGTTGTCCATTTAGAAATGTATATTGAGGAGGTTGTAGGGTGAGGGATTTTGGGCGAGACCAGCTGGGGGCTAGGTCTCACAATCCACACGAATAACAAGCTGCAAGTCAGGTAATTAAACCCGAAATCCTAAGCCTACTAGTTCGGGTTCCTCTGCTTTCTACTACCCAACTGTGTCCGGACGTTTCAACCCCAGCGTCAATATTCCTGCATATCCGGAGGGCTGGGCCGGGCCCTCCGTATCTCGCCGCCACGTTGCTTTCAGCCACCCCGGTCCTCCACCTGCTGAGTTCGGCGTCGCGCAGGAATCGCGACAGCCATCCGAGCCAGAACGTAGTGGATGGTCAGTCCAAAGCTAACATGGTTTCATTTCGTTTGTGAAATGCGATCATGGAAATGCGAAAAAATGAGGCGCGCGAGAGTCACTAGAAATAAGCAAAAACATGGAAATCATCCATGTTCCAAAGCTATCGCGATTTCAATTCCTTTTTTGAAATGCGATCGCGGAAATTAGATGCAGACAAAAGGAAGCGCACGCGAAAGTAGCTAGCAGCTAGAATCTAGAAGTAAGCAAAAACATTGAAAATCCCAATGTTCCAAAGCTAGTGGTGTTTCATTCGTTTTATGAAGCGCGACCACCGGAATGGAACGCGGAAAACAATGGAGCACTAGCATGGCAGTTTTAGACCATCGTTCTCGCTTGGTACCACTGCGTGCGGTTTCCATCCGTTGGCGACTTTGTTGAGACCCGATATCCGGGACCAGGGTTTGTGATGAAGGGTTTAGGGACCTCAGTAGCCCTGAAGCCGTACATAAGGGGCGGGGCGTACTCCTTGAAATCTCAATGCCGATCGCCGATGATGAGGTAGAGGCACTTACTTCGGTTGCATTTCGAAAAGATAGCCAAGTACCGGGAGCACATGGTCAGGCTGTGTGATGTACGAGCTGATGGCTTTCGCTGGCTCCGAAGTTGCGCTCACTCTACTGGCGTTGTTTGCCTCTCGAGACCTGCTGGAGTCGTAGAAAACAAGAAACTAATTCCTAAACCTTAGCCTTAAACCCGAAAGCAGCTGTAACATTCACAGCCCGACTTCCGCAGCAGGTTCCAGTGCAGACAGCAGAGCACGGCAAGGAAGGAATTGAATCGAGCAGCTTGGCAATCAATGTGGGACTGGCTTGCGGGGTAAAGCATTCAAGAGTTTAGTCGTTTCTGGTCTGGGGTTGGCGCATTTATGTCGGTGTGCGCAGGGAGGGGTGGAGTTGAGGGTTGAGTAAGGATTGAAGAACAGGAGGCATTCGTTCCCGAGTCTTCTGCTATGATAACATCGAAGCGAGGGAGAAAATCTTTTTGCCAATGCTGACATGTAGAAGCAGGTGAATACTTCCACAACCCCACCGTGTCCAGGAGCACCTTAGCTTTTAGTACATACTGTTGTCGCTGTCACTATCTGCCTAGGATGCCCAGTAGTACCCTTATTTCCTTTTTGTAGTCCTAGGTTCCTTATAAAATTACCCAATACCAAAAAGAGAGGCCTTTTTATTCTTAGGTTACTGGGTATCCTAGCTGCGGGTATCATGCTTCTGCATTGAACGGTTATTCGTCGTGGTAGTGCCAGGTCGCCATGATTACACTAAAAGCCTGTCCTGAAGAGCTGCCCATGTACCGTTCCTTAGGGTTCCTTAGTAGAACGGTGCCATAGTGGACCCCAAAGCCCTCCTCTTATGATTGAGACCCCCTATATGAAACGGGAGAAAACTCTGCATCCCGGTGGCCCGAACCTTGAACCGTACCAAACAGGCCTTAATAACTAGAATCTGGTTTTTGGTTGTTTTTTGTTACAATTACAATACGGACCCACCAAAAAATTGTGTAGGTAATTATTAAGGAGAACCCTATTATAGATCCCTTATAGACCCCTTTAAGGAACCCTGTTCTAAGTATAGGTAATGATTAAGGCCCTCAGATTAAACCTCCGCCTCGGCTTGTTGCATGCAGCTTTGAGGCCCCTCCGCATCGAGACGGTCAGGGGCGCGGGTGCCTGGTGGATTTCCGGGTTTGACGTTTGATATAAGGGGTCGGAATGAGGATTATTAATATCCCTTCTAAGCCCTGTATAGCTATACCATGATATACCGCCGAAAACCCTATTGTCATTATCAAGGCCCCCGTTTTCCTCTGCCATAGTAAAGCCCCTTTTTGAACGCTACAGGTCGTTTAGCAACAACCCTTACACGAAATCCATCCGAATCCCTAAAACCCAAACCCTAAACCCTATTGTCATTATCAAGGCCCCCATATTCCTCTGTAATAGAGCCCCTATCCTAATCCCTAAACCTAAGCCTTAGCCCTAAACTCTAATTATCAAGGCCTTTGTCTGGGGAGCTTCCCGGT